AATGAGTTTGTCCTATTGATGGTGCCTTATCATTTAAATGTGGTTGGCTGTCAATCGTTTTCTGTGCTACGGGGAACGTCCTGGACTTCCACACAGGCGCCTTCGCTTACCGAAGCCCTCGATGACTTTGAAGTCTGTTCAGAGAGAGATGAGCTTAGATGTAGCGATGGCAGGAGATGCACCGCCCTGCTCTCATTTGATTTCCTGCTGCAACGTTGCCCCCCTCCTCCCTTCCCCCCACCACCCCCTTCCCATATATGTATTTATGTATACACACACACTCCCGTCTCCTCCCTTGTCTCCCCGTGCACTCGCACCTGCATGGGGTGCGTCGCTGGGAGCAGCTGTGTGTGTGTGTGTGTGTGTGTGTGCTTGCTGCGACGCGTCTGCTGCCTGATGCATTACCCGCCCGCTGGTCAAACTGCAGCCGGCTGCATCTCAGCGTGGAGACAAACCCCGGGGAGAAAGTGTGTGTGTGTGTGTGTGTGTCTGTGTGCGTCTGTGACTGCGTGAGTGTGAACCAACCCGTGGTCCCCGTGGTTGTAGCCTTTCCTAAGCGGGCTAAGTCCGGTGGCTAACCCTTTGCGCCTCTGCGCTTGGCAGCGCGACTGCAGCAGGATTAATCCATTCCACACTCCATCAGTCACTGCGCACAGGTTATTAGTGCTGGGGCACAGCGGAGCACACAAACACACACACACACGCGTGCACACACTCGTGCGTACGCGGACCCTTCACCCTTGCGACTTCGCCTTCTACCTCGTCCCCAAAGTTTGCAGAGGTGGCCTTGGTGTTGAGAGGCCATTTGTCAAAACCCAGCCAGAGTCTCCACTTGGCTCCTTTTAATAAGGCTAGCTGGGCTCTGGGATTACACACACACACACACACACACACACACACACACACACACACAGGGCGTGCTTCCGGCTTTGCACATACTCATGCAGCCCTGAGTGTCAGGTGGTGCATCCCGCGGGGCCTATGAAAGTCCCATTAACATGGCCCTCCTCATTGGTTCTGACAGGTTGATCAATTAGACCCCTCCCCCCGCCGACCCTTGCTCTGACTCAGAGGTCAGACACGATGGATCGCTGGACCCGCGCACACACACACACACACACACACACAGTAACACAAACACACACTCTCTGAACTCTCCTTCTCATGTTCTTCTTTTTCCTTTTTCTAAAAGCAAAAACACTTCCCGTCAATGTTAAGCGTTTATTCAGCAGCTTCGCCGCTCCGGTTCGATTGCTCATGAGCGGTCAGACGATCAAAGACTTTTCTGATGACCGGCTCAGAAAGACGCCTCTGAATCCAAAGACGACACGGATGATGATCCGTATAGTTTTTGATCAGCTGTGTTGAACCCGGCTTGAATTGGACACGTTCTTTACCTGTGGAGAGACGCTCTCGCTCCAGCCTGTCGGCGGGATTCAGGGTGAAGTTTCTCTGGGAAACATTTGATCATAAACGCTTTGGTTGAACGTGTGATCAAAAGGATACGATTCATCAGTAAGTCTATCTGCCACAATTTATTTAGAACGAAAAAAACAATATTTTTATGATCACATGAGTAAAATTTACAATTTTTATATATTTATTTATTTATATATATACATATATATATTTATTTATATATATATACATATATATTTTTATTTATATATACATATATATAATGAATTAGTGCGCTGCCCCTCCAGGGAATTTTCCAAATGATTTCAGTGTCCAGTCAGCTATGGGAACAATTGTTAAAATAATCCAGGGAGGAGTCCAATTAAAAGGCCTAATGAGAGGGGCGTGTGTTGTCTGGGGGGGGTCATCGCCTCGGAGGGTAGTTTGGGGGCGCAGAGGGGTGAAGAGCGGCGTCTTCCTGACGATGTCCACCGGCCTGATTGAATATCGACCTCTGCACACGGGGGCTAAATGGCTTCTGTCTGCTTCACCTCGGCGGGGGAAGCAGTTTAAACACGCTTCCACATTTCAATGAATCCATCTTTTTTGGGGGAGTCGTTACCATGGATACGGTCTCGTGCGTTTGATGCAGCGTTTTGTCTAGTGTTGTGCATCGCTGTTGGATTATGGGTAATTATTGTATTGTCAGTTTTTGTAAAAGGTTATATGACGTTACCGCGGACGCATGGCGTGATCTTACCGCGGCCTCCCTCGCCGTTCACTCCTCTTCCTCCTTATTATAAGAAAATATTTCTTCCTTTTCCTCTTCTTCCTCCTCCCTTATTCTCTCACTTCTGCTTCACTCTCCTCGACGGCGTTTTACTTCCCACTGTTTCCGCCCTCGGACGCTTTTCCTTTGTTGCCACGGCGACACGCTCCAGATGGCGAGTGCCAAGGCGACACTGGGCTCCGAGTATAGTCAGATCGCAACACACACACACACACACACACAGGGAACAGACTGAGACACTGGCAGCGTACATTCTGTTCAACTCTCATCCTACTCGGATGCTGGCGGACGTGCTCTCTGCCCACCACACACACACACACACACACACACACACACACACACACACACACACACACACACACACACACACACAGTATAATAAAACCTGTGTCACAGCCGCATAGGAAACAACCTCTGCTTTATGTGACCGGGGAGGTCGTTAATCTTGCCGGAGATTAACAAATGCGCTTGCGTGGAAGGTGTATTTCACGCGCAGACGTCGCACAAATGGGGCCGCTGTGGTTTGCTGCGGATGCGCGGCTCATGTCAGCGGTTGTGTTTCATCTCCCCAGATGGATGCGTTCGTGCGGGAGAAAACGCGTGCGACGCAGAGAGAACAGCCATTTGTTTTTGCGGCCTAAGACCACAATTTTATTGTTGTGAATCGGGAGAGGGGGAGATAACCGTGTTTCTGTTGCTCGTTGCCATCAGTCGAGGCTGGAGCCGGACCAATCGCCCCGACCGGGGGGGGTGGGTGGGTGAAGCAGCGTTGTTTCCGTCCATGCAGCGGCGGGCGAGTCTTCCCGGTAATCCATTAGACTTCCATTAGCTCCGATTTGTGTGATTAGCTCTAATTAATCAGTCGAGTCCGTGGCCTTCACTTCCCTGCGCGCGCCTCACATTTCATTTTTAACCTCATCTCTCAGCTCTCCACCGAGCGAGAGAGCGAGGCGACGACCCAGCGAGCAAATCAAAGCGGTTCGGCGTCCTCCTCCTCCTCCTCCTCTCTGATGGAGCGCACAAACACTCGATACGGCCCGAGCAACAGGCCCAAACTAACTGCGTTGTGGTGCTCATTTCTCTTAATATGACGTGGGGCCTTTTTTCTTTAGGGGAGAAAAAGGTGCTTTTTGAAGCTCGCTTGTGGTTCGCGCTACTTGGCATCGTCCCGAGTATCGATCGGCGGCGTGGGCGTCCGTCCCTCGCTCTGAACAAAGCCCGTCGATGATTGCGGAGCCCTGATTCCCCCCCCCCCTCGCTCAAATGCCGTACGCAGCGCTATCGCTAAGTGAGCGGACGCTGTAACCCGGGGACTCTTTTCATCCGCAACACTCAAATTAGAGTTAAGAGATTTATTTTGGAGGGGCTGGTCGCAGGAGGTCGACTGGTACACCGAGGTGGTGATAATCTGTCTTCCTTTCCTGCGCTGTCAGCCTTCTTCTGCCATTACAACTATTGTGATAAATGAAGGCTCAATTCATCAAGCAGACCCCTGCTCGATTTCTTTTTCTCTCCCCCCCCGCTCCCACATCTCACCTCTCTGCGCCGTTCGCTTTATTTCTTCATCCGTTTTCCCCACCGATCCCCCGTCATCCATCCATCCATCCATCCATCCATCCGTCCATCCCTCACTCTCACTCAGCCACATCGAGTCTTTCTTTGTGTCTGCCGGGGACGTCTGAGATGCCGCCTGTCACCCTGAAGCAGACTCTACTTCCGGAGGTGGCCCGGCTGCTGTCAATCAATCCGCAGCCTGCGTAGCAGAGGGGGGGGGGGAGGGTGACCACACGATGTGGCTCCCCGCTGCTTAGAAATTCACTTCTTTCTCTTTCGTGTGGACGGCCGGCGTCATTCGTGTAGTTTTTGGCTTCCAAAACGGATTAAACTTGATTGAGCGCTTTGTTTGGCACTTTAAATTCACAAACTCCACTGACCAATCTCGGGTGTTTGTTTCACTTGTCAACCCTCTCGTCCATTTCCACCACATGCTGCGGGTAACCTGCACGTGCACAACAATATACTGCAAATGCATATCAACATGCATCACGTTGTGGAATAAAATTTACTTCAAGGTTCAATGTGTAAAAACCTGTTTGGATTTAGTTTTTTTTCTTTTCACACATTTGAGTTCAGCTTTGCTCAAAAGTCCCTAATGCAACAGAATGTGACGATCATTTGAGCAATTGACGCCCTTCGATGCAAAATCTATTGTGGAAATCCAGTATTTAAACACTTATAATATTATAATAATAATATAACTGACAATATTGCTTTCAGAAAAACAGTGATATACAAAATAATCCGATCCAAAAAGCTTCAGAGATAAATATCTCTGGACTGGAGACTCGAACGTCTCCCACTAAGTACGGACAGTAAGCACGACTTTACCCAAAGGCATGCTGGGATCAAACAGATGTATTGTGGTTTGTTTTTGTGCGTGAGGCACTTCTACACAGGCCAACTCCCTGCAGCTGCTTCACAACAAAAGGCCTCAGCGAGTTGCCATTGTTAACATTTCATTATGCCATTAATCTCTTAAAATTTAACCTATTGTAATTAATGTTTCACTCAGCTCGGGTTTGGTACACATGTTGAAAGGACCCGGCAAATTGAAAATGATGTTATGTTCAAGTAAACGGTCAAACTGCCGTGCTGGTTAAAAGCTTTGTAAATGCAAGAGTATATTTTGCCTCCAGATCTTAATTTAGCTCTGTGCCGTGGGGCAGTGTTGTTCTCCGGGGCGACGTTAACGGGGTCTCTGTCTCTGTCTCTCTCTCTCTGTCTCTCTGTCTCTGTCTCTCTGTCTCTGTAGGACCCCGTGGTTTAACGGCTGGGGGTTCAACCTGCCTCGGGGTCAATCTCTGCTGGATAAATGGAACCTCGTCCCCGAAGGCATCGACATCCTGATGACCCACGGACCTCCGCTCGGTGAGTGCAATTATCCAATCACAGCCCCCACCTCCACCCCCTTCCTCCGCCAGCCTCATCATCACCATATCTAATGAGGTTGTTCCTCATTATGTGAATATCTGTAGGGAGTCACTTGAGTCGGTGTGTGTGTGTGTGTGTTCTCATATTCACCCACCCGTATCTGGAGTGAACACACTGAACACGGTCTGATTCCATATTTGTGTTTGACTGAGTGAAAAAGAAAACACATATTGTTTTCTTTTCACTACAGACTGATTCAGTTTTCCTTGGAGTTCCTTGGTGTTTTTTCTTTCTTTGCGCTCTCCATCTGGCCTTATTGAGTGATTTCCTTCCCTCTCGCCTACGGAGAGCGAGCGCTGCAGCAGCAGCCGCTGTGGTCGCTTGATTGCATGGAAACTCGATTTTGCACCAGTGTGACAGACTCTGCAAACGATTGTAGAGAGACCAGGGGGGGGGGGGGGAGCTCTCCGAAAACTGAAAATCCGGGGATGTACGACCGTGGAAGACATTTTCGTCGGCCGAGGAAAAGGCAGCAGATCTGCGAGGTTTTCAACTAGAAAGGGATGTGACGATATGTAACAATTACACATGTTCGGATCCATTCTCTCCTTCCAGATAGCAGTTCTGAAAAGCTGTGTGTTGCCAACACGCATGTATGAATACGTGTTATTTAGAGCAGCTGTGTGCTCTTCGCGCTCTGCGGATGTGATATGATATGGATGTGCTCGGGGAAACGCGAGCGAACACATGAAAGCCAAAGAGCTTTCTTTCATCGTCTGTTTTGACAGCTCGTCCGGTGTGAAATATTGAAGCCGACAACGCTCGCTTTCCGCCGGCCGATCGGTGCTGTGCACTCAAGAAGCTGGATGATTATATTTCCATTATATTACATTCAACAAAAAGAATCTCATTGCTACTTCAGCATTTTCGGACGAATGGCGGCAAATGGAAGCCTGCATATGAAGAAAAGGAAAGGGGATGATTTTTGCTTTCATTAAAGATGGTTCTTGCTGGAACCAAATGACGGCAAGCAAACGTCGCAACAACTAATCCCAACGAGGCCTAATTGGAACGTGGATTGCGAGACTTATTTGTACCGACGGGACTCGCTGCAGGAGGTCAAATGCTCCGAACTTTCTGTTGCAGTTCCGTAGATCCGTTGCTGAGGGTGGTCATGCGTGTTGGAGGAACCCGTGTGAAATGTATGAGGGGGAGCTCGCTGGTTAAACCGCTCATGTGTCCGTGCAGGTTTCAGAGACTGGGTTCCTAAGGAGCTGCAGCGGGTCGGCTGTGTGGAGCTGCTCAACACGGTCCAGAAGAGGGTGCGACCCAAACTTCACGCCTTCTGAGGCATACACGAAGGTACTGAGAATGAAGGTCCAGGGGTCAGAGGTCAGGTGGGCCTGAGGTCCACACTGACGTACAGAACCCTCCACACTTAATCATGCTGAGAAAATATGTTTTAACTTTAACTAACGTCTTTCAATTCTCCTAATTAATGCGTTTAATGTAAATATTTCTTTCCTACTACTGGGCTAGTCAACATTACTATTCACCCTAAAGGCCTTTAAAACTTTATTAAACTCCCCCCCCCCCCTTCCTCCCCCCTTCTCTCAGGCTACGGGATCATGACGGACGGCTACACGACGTTCATCAATGCGTCGACTTGCACCGTCAGCTTCCAGCCCACCAACCCCCCCATCGTGTTCGACCTGCCCAACCCCTCCAGCTCCTGAGACCAGAGGACAGCGGAGGAGGGGACCGGGGGGGAGGGGGACAAAAAAACGACTTTCTTTTCTATAAATATGTCCAGTTGAAAAAAAGAAGAAAAAAAAAAGTACTAAGTGTTTTTTTGCAAACTTCTCCAAGCTGTCATTGAGAATGGGGGGAATTTGGGGGGGGGGGTTAAAGGAGAACACCGGTGGTCTTTTTGTTGTCTTTATTTCTAGTTGTGCTAACAATGCTGTGTTCCCCCTCGGATTTCTGTTTTTTTTGTTTTTTTTCCTACACACATTCTCGTTGAGTCCGAAAAAACCCACTTCCACATTTCTACATCGACGGTCCACTTCCTGTTGAACAGCCTCACACAGGAAGTCACCCCGCCAAAATAAGTTGCCTTAGTGCAGACGAGAAGAGAGCGTGGACACGGCTGTTCTTTTTGCGACGATGATGCCATCAAGTTATTTTCTAATAAGCTGATTTTCTGGACATGAAATCAATGTTTCGGTTCAGTTACACACTTCATATCTGATTCCTTCCTGACGTCATTTAATGATCGCAAGAAAAGACAATATTCACGCTGTGAATGTGCTAAAAAAAAAAAAAAAAAAAGCGAACAAGTCAACAGAAGTGTGCCATGCAAAATGTATTCGGGGAACAACAGTCGCCAGTGGCACCGGTATTCTCCTTTTTTGAGGGACTTTTGTGGTTAAACAATCTTGCTCTTGATATTAATATTGGTCAGATCTGTAAGATAAATGATGCTTTGTGAATTTGTACAATTTCTTTGTGTTTGGTTTGCATTGGCCGGACAATGGATGCCATTGCTTCATGGTGTATCATCTGATATTTTTGTGTTTAGCTCTTTTTTTTTTTTTGCATTGTTTTTCTCGTCAGTTCCTCTTCTCTTATTGGCTGACAGGGACGCTGCCTTAAACTAGCTTTAATGTTCTCAGCTAGAGCCCCACTCTCTGCGAGCTCAGAGAGAGTCCTTATTTATTACCCCGCAAAACAACAGCTGACTAACGCAGGGACGGAAAGCTACCGAAAAAACAGCCCGGAAAACTCCCCTTGTAACACCTCGCTACGGATTCCTGATCTAATTTGGAAAATGTATGTATAAAAAATATATATATATTATATATTCATGTTGTAAAACATCTGTACTAAAAGTTGTGGTTGACGGAAAAAAAATATGATCTGGTGCATTTTTCTTTTTTTCTGTGCGCGCCTGTACAATTGACTTGTTTCTTTAACGCTCCCATCGGACGCCCTTCATGCGTTTGTATAATGTTTTTTGTATCGACTCGCCCAGTGGGGGTGGACGTTCATTTCGGATGAGAGAGGAAGAATTCGTCACAATCCAACAGGTGCCGCTTGTACCCAACAACACGCCTGCCTAAGCCTGGTAAAGTTGTCCTTAAAAGTGTAACTGATAGTATTTGTGTTTTTAATTGCTTTCTTTTTCTAATTTTGCACTGTGTGTAAATGCAATCTTGCTAGCACAAAAAAAAAATGTTGCCAATAGTTGTCTCAACTTTGCCGCTGTAAATGCTCTTTCTGTTCCTCTCGCTCTTTCTGATTGTATCCCTCTTCATGGAAATGTTAGTTCTCTCTTTCAGTTCATTGTGATATATTTAGCTGCCTTTATATGCAAATAAAATTGCAAGATTTTTACTTATCATGTTCAGTCTGTTTTTCAGCCAAAGCCAGTGATGTTGTGATTCATATGAAAGTCCATATGGAGCTGGAAGTATTTCTAGATTTAATTTAACTTGTGTGTGAACTTACAGGAAGGCTTTAAAGCCAAACACATCACAGGTTTCTCTCGCTGTCTGCAAACACTCCAATTTTATATTATTGGTTTGACTTCAAGTAACCACGTTGCTCCTTTTGCAACATTTTGCACATTATGTGAACATAGATGATGCTCATTGCTTGGACTCGGCGGTGAACGCCGCTGCATGCAGTCTCGGCCTACTTATAGGAGCCACGTGTCTAAAGTATATAAATGTATACTCATCTGCACGGCCCACTATCACAGCAGGGGTTCCGCCTCCGCAGGCAGAACGCCTGCAGGTCCTGATTGTGCCGAGGCCTCAAGAGCAACCTGCTTAAAAAAAAACTCCTCCAGCACAGCAGCTCCTCCACCTCATTAGAAATGACAACGCGAGAACCGCAGCTGCAGTGGTGGCGTAGCTGTGGGAGGCGGTGGCGAGGACGCACCTGACGCGGTGAGCCACGTTTATCGAGAGCGCAGACGAAGGACTCTTTTTCAAAGCGAAAAAATGTGCCGCTTAATCACGTGGGCGCGTCAGCGGTGGTGCAGAGGACCACGAGGAGCAGCTAGCGGGTCGGACGCACCAACACAATGACGCGTTGATGAATCCGCCTCGCCGCCTCCATCGTGGGCCCCCCCCCCCCCCCCCCCCCCTTCTCTCATCACCACGACATCAAAGCAACCCAACCAATTAACTGTTCCCCGAAACGAGAGCAGCAGAGCATCGACCCCCCCCCCCCTGTACATTACCATAATCCAGTCTAATCATGTTAACATAGGCCACAGATGGGAGGAGACACTGCTGCCTTCGACCAACGCAGAGAACGTTACGTTCGTGCCTCTGCGGCTCTTTTTAATATACTGTACGCCAGAGTCCTTTAATGTAAAACCAAACATTTTTCATGCAAAACACGTCCCTGTCAACACACGAACAGCACATGTGGCAACATGCTAATCAGTAGCGTGCTAGGATGCTAACAAGCACAGCGCTTGTCAGCGTACTAATTGTACACGTTAACATTAGTGTGATCGTTTGTTACAGCTGTGAAAGTACATTTACTCAAGTAGTAAAGTAACATTTTGACCTATATATTTATATTTCATGCTACTTTATGCTTCTACTCCGCCTTATTTTAGAGGGAAACCTCTAATCCCTTTACATGTAATGTCTATTACTTACGTTGCAGTTGTGGATTTTTAATATAATATATTAAATTGTAATGCTTCTTTATCATTATTTAGACGAGATTGCATCATTCAAAGCAAACTAGTAGCAATGCAACAGACGGACTCTTCGTCTTCCCTACATTACTCTGCACTACTTACTCTACAAGAACTGCTGCGGGTGACCCAGAAAACCGCACAAAGGTTTTTCTTTTTTAATATGTCAAATTAACAGCATTGCAAGAAGGTAGTAAAAGTTATGAATTTGTGATTTCTTATTTCGGGGCCCCCCTGTGGATGGATGACACTGTGAGCCTGGAGCCGGCTTCACATGCCAGAGAAATCTGTTATGCTTCCTGGATTATCAGTCTCTCTCTCTCTCTCTCTCTCTCTGTGTTAGCGATAGTCTCTCCACCGCTCACCCTTTTTATGTCTCAGCGGCAGGACGTTTATAGCTCTGCCAAATTGCCGGCTGTATTAATTATCCCGGCCCAGGCAGCTGCTGGCGGTGTTGGGTGTTTGTCAGGTCAGCCTTCATCTGCTGCTGATGGATGCGGGGCAGGACACGGTGAAGGCTGACGGAGTCCCAGCACCACATCACCCTGTGTGTGTGTGTGTGTGTGTGTGTGTGTGGCTCACCCTGATGCCAGCTCTCTGCATGCACTGTTTATATGCACCTAATTGCCTGCCAGTGGTATTATTGTAATCTGGAGCTCGTTTGGCCCGAGTGCAGTTGGTGTGAAATAATAACTCTAAATCTGAGTCATGCAGCCTCATGCTTTCCATGCGCTCATCTCTCCCATGTGGCCTCACTTAAGATCTTTTTAGAGGGAATGTCTTATTGTGACGGTTTACATTATTTGGGAGTTAAGTTGAACATCGAAATGGACACATTGGCATTTGTTTTTTTCTCAGAAAATGGGAAATACTGGGAATATACAGACATATGCAAATGAGACAGGCGCCGGATCACTTTTCATTTATTTTAGACCCAAACTTAAAAACTGCACCAAGATTTTGTTTTTCTCGTTAATTATTTATTGGATTGATGCTGTAATTTCTCTTTAGATTTTGCGCTTTGAAGGAATCTCTGAGGTTGAACTGAAGAACCGACCCGCCGACCCCCACTAACAATGCGTCATTATCACAAGTGGATCGGCTGAACGGCGGAAGCTTCATTTGTCCAAAGGTTTGTAACACACCTCCTTCCTGATTTTCCCTTATCAGGAATTCAACTGCACAATCCAAATCCCTCACAATCAAATACATCAGGGTTGCTTTTCCTCCAGCATGAATAATGGGCTCCATTAAAATATGATTTAGTTTTGAAAAGATGATTAGATAGAAACATTCATTTGGTGTGTGTGTGTGTGTGGCTTCTTGACCTTTCATTGTTACAGATTCAATAGAATTTGCTCGACAAATTGTTATTTTACATATCAATATAGTTCTTAAATTGTGAATAATGTCATATAGATACAAATAGATACAAAGACATTTCGCATCGCTAATATTGAAAGAAAAATACTGTATTAATAGCTTTTTTTTCATAAACTTCGTCTTCACACGTGTCCGTCCACCGGACGCTGGCAGACTTTTGTTTCTTGCACTAGAGGAAGGTTTATGAAATAAAAAACATTCTAATGCAGCAACCCTTTTCTATCCTGGCACGATGAAGCCGAAAACGTTCCATCCTAAATGTCCTGCTGTAACGTCCAATGGTCTTGATGGTGTTCTCTGTCTCAGCATCCGTGAGGGAAGATGGTTCAAAGAGGAAATGGACAAAGAATAGAAAGAAAGGTTGGAATAGAAAAGGTTCCGGTTTGTCTTACACAAAACTGCAAAAAAGCTTTGTTTAATGAAAAGCGGGAAAATCGCAACCGTCACCTGAAAGAAAAAAAAAACACCACAACAAGAAAGTGGAGCAACAAGTTGCTCGAGATTTGGCAGACATCAGAGGTCAATACTTCATTAATGTCCGATTAACGTCCTCCAGCTGATTAATTCAATTGAGCCCTTTATTACTCCGTGTGCATTAATGTCTGTGGGCAGCGATGCGTCGGGTTCCTCGGTTATTTGAGTTGAATTCTGCTGCTGAAACTAAAAGACACCACAGGCTTGGGAAGAAAAATAATTCTTCAAAATCATTAAATAAACCGTGAAACGTTCCAGCGCTACAAAGTGTTTCGCTGTGTTTTGGGATTCTTTTCATCAGCTTTTTTCTAATTCAGTTTGATGTTTTACGTTGAAAATGTAACGTGTCCGTCTCGTATTCGTGGATCATTCATTAAAATGGAAACAAAGAGTCCAGTTTAAACATCCACAGAAGCAGGAAATGGACCAGAATGCAGCGCAGGTTGGGTTCATCCAGATGTTCTCAGTGGTGAAAAGAGGTTTTCCAAAAGTACTGTTCTTAAGTACAATTTTGAGGTACTTAAGTTGAGCATTTGAATTTAATCCTTGTTTATTTTTTGTTTGTTTTCTTTTTTAGTATTGTGTCATCTTTAAGGATTGTATTACTAAATTTATATTAAGTTTAAATAAAGTCATTTATATTTTTGTCCTGTGATGTTTTCCTTTTACAGAACACCCCTTAAAGTTAGTAAGAAAAAAGAAAAGAGGTAAATTGACTACACTAAACAAGTAGTTTACATTTATTCATACTCTGTAACCAGTGACCGTAACTGGCTCTGAAAAACACTCAGGAAACACACAGCCAGCACGCAAACAAGCAAAGTAAACACAACTCCACACGGCAAATAAAATAAAGAATTTACAAGACCAGCAGCGTGAGAGTATCTGAGGAGGATTCTTCCTTTAATCCCGTGATCAGTTGGCGCCAGTGTTTCTTCTTTTACCCCGATGATGTAAACCCTTGGAACACACACACACACACACACACACACACAGGCTCACTCAGACACACTACAGCTGTTACAGTTGGCACACAGTATCCGTTGTGTTTTCCCTGGTAGGCAACAGCAGCCACTCGACATGAGATGCCGCTTCGCCCTTTCGCCCCTTCGGTACGATGACCTCCGCGTCGCAGTCCTTTATCCAGCCGCTCTCCTGTTTTCCGCCACGCAGCGTGAATTTGAAAACCAGCGGCCAGTCGAAGCACGCGAGGTCTCCCCCGAGGTCGAGCGAGGGCCGATCCTCTCGAGTGGCTCTTTAGTTTACAGGCTGAATGCTGCAAAACGAGGACTTGAAAGATGCTCGTGACAATATTAATGTAACAAATTTACACTTTTAAAATGTTCCAATGGCCCGTCAGCCACGTCAGCCACTTGTTTGTGCTGTTTGGAGCTTATAAAGCTTACTAAAGTGTAGCTATGTAAAACCTTTTTAAATGTACACAGTCCTCTCAGACAGTTGACTGGTCACAATCCAGCTTTGGTGACTGTAGATTCCACACTTTTAAAAAGTTGCTTTTAAAATACTGAAATCATGAAGGTATTTGTCAAGCAGCCACAACAGCTTTCTGAAAAAGCCACGTGGATTCGGATCAACAGCACAATTCTAAAAAGTCTATTAATTGCTTTTGTGTGTGTGTGTGTGTGTGTGCGTTGTGTCTCTCAGGTGCTGATCAGAGTACTCAGCTGAAGGTTGCCTCTCACCCGGAGCTCCCCCCTCCCTCCCCTCCCTCCCCCCATCCCCTGTGTCTCGCTGCCTTGGCCTCCAGTCCGGGTTTGAATCATTTAATTATCCACACTTCTTCTTTTTGTGACGAGGCTTGT